TGCTTGTCTTTGTGCATGTTAAATTGTAGGAATCATTTTTGTTTGAATCCGATGTCAACTTCCACTTAATCCCTGAGTGTTTCTGTACCAGATTTCCCTTTCAGTTGTCTCAGCGACTGATATAAACAATCATTCCTAACGATGAATAGAAGTCCAGGCTTTTCGATGTCATTGACAGCTTTTTTTCCAATAAAAATGGAACTCGAAAAATTTACTTACCTTGTCATTGGTCATTTGCAAAATTATTTTGTTAAAAAGCATTTTGACTGCAGACACAAATAATCCGAAGTCGACACCAAAATGATGATTGAGTTTCTGATTGAAAATATTTTTGTTGTTTTTGGAGACCAGGTATTCCAACATTTTATTGAGATTCAAATGGGTACCAATTGCGCTCCGATATTAGCAGACCTACTTTTATAATCATATGAAGCAGAATTTGTGCAAAATCTTATACGTGAGAAGAAGAAAGCACTTGCTGTGACCTTAATTCAACTCGATATTTAGATACATCGACGACGTACTGTCAATTAACAATGGTAATTTCCAATCTTATGTTGCTACGATATATCCTGATGAGCTTTAGATGAAAGATACCACAGAGTCTGCCACATCAGTTTCATATTAGGATATTTATTGTGAAAAAGACATTGTCGAACAACCAAGCTCTATGATAAACGTGATGACTTTAACTGTTTTATCGGCAACTTTCCTTATTTATGCAGCAATATACCTTCATCAACTGCATACGGAGTTTACATATCTCAGTTGATAAGATACGCAAAAGCATGCTCTACGTAAGAACAATTTCTATAAGGCAAATTATTGACAAGCAAGTTGATTAAACAAGAATTTCGTCGGCCTGTTTAAAGTTATCGTTTCGTAAGTTCTATGGCCTATACAATTACCTTCTCAGCAAAAACAATTTATCATTGAGTAAAATGCTTGCTGACGTTTTTCATACTTATTGTTGGTCCATTTATTATACACTGAATTGACGACGGATTTTTTTCCCCCGATCATGACGATGAGCACACATGTGTTTCCGGTCGGCAGTTGATTGATCGATTGCATACTGTTTAACGTCCCTCTCCAGAATATTTCACTGATATGGAGACGTCACCATTGCCGGTGAAGGGCTGCAAATTTAGGCCTATGCACGGCACTTACGGCCTTTGACTACGGAGGGATTTTTATCGTGCAACACCTTCTGTGACACGGGGCCTCGGTTTATACAGTCTCATCCGAAAGACGTACCACCCCATTTAGTCGCCTTTTACGACAAGCAAGGGGTACTGAGTACCTATTCTAACCCAGATCCCCACGGGGTGTAGGCAGTTGATGCTCACTCCTCCAGGGCACCTGATTCCACCTCTGATGTTTTGGAGGTCCGTATTTGCTCTGCTCCTATTTTCTATTCTTGACTTATGATCTATGATACTATCTGCTGATGTTTTTTACAACAGAATCTTTAGAAAGTAATTTTTATTAAACTTTGTTATCAAATATTAATTACAAAAAGTGAAAGAATACGTGACATTCAAACGCATCTCATATATCTAATTTGAAGAAAAAAATTACGAAAAAAATATTGTGTTGCATAGCATAATAAGGAGACTATATATGATGCATAAAAAACATATTATCATTCTATAATGTACTACAAATCGGAGAAAAATACAACTTTCAAATATGTATTTAGACCTTTTACACATACTTTATACAAAGTGGAGGAAGATAATATTCGTACTCAATGTTAATGTCATATATCTCTAGCACATCATAGGCTAAGAATTAAGCAAATTATGATTTGTGGACAATGTAAAGGTTGCCATTAAGCTTGTATATAAACATTAGAACATAAGCATTACTATAACCTCCTTCCTCCATAACGTGTTGTGGTAGGATTCTATTGAGGTGGATACAAAAATCCAATAATCAAGTAAATTTGACATATATTAAAAGGATTATGCAAATTTTAATAAATTTGAGCACATGTGGTAAGGTTTAACATCAATGTTGAGCACAAAATTGTATGTAAAAACATAAATATACAATGAAGCACATTGAAGTGGTAAAATTTTCCGTTTTACTGGAAGGTTTTGAGCTATCTTTAGAACAATGATTGTCATACAATGGCACGCCCATGTCTTAAGAAAGGAAAAATCGGTCAAATGGTTCATCCGAAACCTGTAGAACAGGTATTCCATAAATATAGTAGCCAATCAAATTGACGGTCGCATAAACACCGAATAAGCACGTGTTCGACCGATGCATGTGTTATGGTAATTCCAATAAACATGATGCAATTCATAATTATGGACGAATTCGTTGCAATAAATGTTGTACAGAAGCGGGAACTCTCTAACTCTCTCTCTCTTTCTCTTATAACTTCAAAAATCTCGATTTTGGTGAAACTCATGTTGCTTGTCATAAGGAGTGGGGTGTGATAAACATTACGACAGAAAGAGGTAGAGCCAAGTTATGCATAAATGGCCCTGTACTTATATCAAATAATTAAATATCACCCTCTTTCCCATTTTATATGTCAAAATAAAGAAGACACTTGGTGCTTTCATGTTGTATAATGAAATTTCGTTTTGAGAATCCAAATATTTAAAAACAGGCTTTGAGAAATTGCAATGTTCTTGAAATTTGCAGAAAATATGCGCATTTGACTACCTTGAGCAAAGAATTTAAATATGAGCACAGCCCACGATCCAAAAAATAAAACATGTCTTTTGATCTTCAAAAACAGAGCTTTTATTATGTATTTGCATATTTTGGATCAGAGGTTGTGCTCTATATGAAATATTGAAAAAATTCCTCAATTTTAGGCCATTTTCAAAGGAATTTACACAATATGAGGAAAATGACGCATTTGATGACGTCATAATCAATTGACGAGATGAAAAATTACGTCACAATCAATAGACACATGATCATCAACACTCCAAGTAATAAATACTGCACTTGCAACCTAAACTGAGCGGTTTCGATTTTTCGAAAATTCTCAGGGCCAAATAAGGCCAAACATGGCTCTTGCTCTTTCCTTTTAGTTTCTAAAGAAATGGGCGTGTCATTATTTTAAAATTGACGTTCAAAACATGACTCAGAGCATTTCACCCAAACGGAAAATTTTGCACTTCACTGCGCTTAAATGTAAGTAACGTTACAATGTAAATGTATAGCCCCTTCTCCACAACATTTTATGCGATCGGATCCTGATTGTTAAGGTATGTGAAGATGAGAAGAAGCATAACAAAATTGAGAGTATGTGACACATGTCCCCTCAATAAGAAACGAAAATATGTGTAGACATTTAACAATAAGGAATGTTTATGTAAGCAAAGTAACAAATAATTTTGAGTTCTTCATCAAAATGAAAACATCATCTACGCAACCGCTTACATTTTTCTGTCTGCTTTTGCATATTTATGGATTTCCTCGTAAGTGTTTGGGTGATCAAAGTCACTTAGTTCTACATAAGCGGAAATATTCCTATCAGATTTAAAAAAATGCAAAATCAATCCTGGAAAAGGTTAAAGTAAAAAGAAAAATTTCAACATAAATGAATAAAACAATACATACATATCTTGCCCACTTTTAGTATCTGAAAATTAGAAGCTTAGTAATTACTACCTCCCTGATAATGTTTTACCCTTTTTTACATGTAAGGTGAGGGACATTTCATTTCAAAACAATATTTTTACAAATAGCCTTTTAAACATTTTCCCAAAAGTCCGGACCATTTGTAGACTATTTATTTAATTTTCTAGCAGAATGAATGTATCGGATTTTTTTTTTACAAAACGATGATTTCAGATACATTGGTATTCTTTAGATATGCTTTTACTTCAATTAAAATTGTAGACATCGAATTCAAACACCATTGTTTTATCACTGTCAGATATACAAATGTAAAGGGCATTTATTTTCATATAAAGACTGCCATGTTCTCATATGTAAAATAAATTCCTTTAACATTTGTATATTTGATTTTACCTCCTTTATCAACAGATGGGAATTCGTTGTAATAGTCTTTGTCATTTGGGGTGTCTAAAACCGTCCCTTTCTCTGAAAAAAAAATTGAAAACATTACATAAGAATTATTTTTATAAAGAGGTTATATCGTGTACCAATTTTTAATGGTACCTGTAAAAGCACTTTCGATTTAGACTCGAAAGAGTCTTTCGATTCCTTTCTGCCTATCATATCATATGTGTTAAAAAGAATCACTTTTTACTTTAAAAAAACAAAAGTAATGAAAAGGTCTTTTTATATCTATTTGATTGTTTTTGAAATGTTTTTTTTAATAGGATATTTGGTGGGTTGGGATTAATTGTTGTGGGGTTTTAAAAGACAAATAAATGAAAAAAATAAAATTAAAACATTACGTCGATGTATTTTTCTCCAGATGACAAAGGTTAGGAGAGTTCCCATCAAAACAATTAAAGTAGAGACCACCACACTTGTAATGGTGATAGTGTAGTCATTCTTATATGTGTCACAAGACTGTGCCTGCAAAAATTGGTCAAAAGAAGACTACAATTTATATGTAGAACATAATTATGTATTTGTACTTTATCATATCGTAGAAGGATATGGAGATAACGAACAGTAATCAATCTCAACGTCCATTAAACAATACAAAATAAGAGAAGAGCAAACACGGACCTCCAAAACATCAGAGGTGGGATCAGGTGCCATGAAATTTGTTTTTAACTGAAGAAAAATACAAACAAAATAGATGTAGAGATTTCAAATTCTTCACCAATTTTTAAAAAACTTTTTATGTTCTTATGTCCTTCGTATGTTTTATTAATTACATTACCTGCACGTAGGATAGACAATGTCCTGACTCGTGAGGACAGGTCTGGCTGACACATTCTGTACTACAGGTCTCTTTACAATTCACTCCCCAGTATGATCGTCCACAAACTATAAAATGAATTTGAAAATAGATCTCCCGTTGCATTCATGATCAAAGTTAAAAGATGAAGAGAATCGAGGCCCTAACACGAAAAATCAACCTTACAAAACCGTTTTTGTGTTAAAAAAAAAACACACACACACACACACATTTTTTTCTTTTTATCAATAGAAGCAACAACCTGTATATTATACATTTAGCTGTTTTAGGAAAAAAATTAGATGAACAATTTCAAGAAATATTGATATAGAAGAGGACCATGGGCCATATTGCTCACCTGAGCACTGTAGCTTGGAAAAAACAGAAATCAGTTAATTATTAAATTTAAAACCCAGAAGTGGTCCCAACCAATCCTTAAAGGTGAGGATGTGTGATTTGAACAAACTTAAATCTACACTAACTAAGGATTCTTGTATATTTTTTTGACTACTTGTGGCTTTATTGCCCTTTACATTTGAACTAATAACATTGTGGCCCTGCCCTATGATTTGAACAAACTTGAATCTACACTACCTGAGAATTCTTCCATATGAATATGACTTATCATGGCTTTGCCATTTTTTATAAGAAGATTTTCTAAGAAATTTTCTACATATTTCTATGTAAAACTTGGGATTCCATGTTGTGGCCCAGCTTTACCCCCAGGGATCATGATTTGAACAAACCTGAATCTCCACTAACAAAGGATGCCTCCATATAAATATGACTAATCATGGCTTTGCTATTCTTGAGAAGATTTTTCAAGAATTTCCCTACAAATTTCTATTAAAACGCCATTGAAGCCTTGCCCTACCCCCAGGTTCATGATTTGAATAAATTAAAGCTGAATTTACACTACCTGAGGATGCTTCCATTTAAATTTGATTATTCATGCCTTTGCTATTCTTTAGAAGAAGATCTTTTAAAGAATTTTCCTATATATTCCTATGTAAAACTTTGATCGGCCATGGTGGTCCCGCCCTACCCCCGGGGGTCATGATTTGAACAAACTTGAATCTACACTATCGGAGGATGCTTCCATATAAATATGACCATTCATGCCTTCGCTATTCTTGAGAAGAAGGTTTTTAAAGAATTTACCTATATACTTCTATGTAAAACTTTGATCGGCCATTGAGTCCCCACCCTTACCCAAGGGGTAAAGATTTGAACAAACTTAAATTTACACTACCTAAAGATGCTCCCTTAAAGTTTCAAGTTTCCTGGCACAGTGGTGCTTGAGAAGAAGGTTTTTAAAACATACAACCTAATTTTCAATATTTCTGGATTATCTCACCTTGAATAAAAAAAAAATGAGCTTAAAATGAATAAAAATGACAGATTTCTTTGCACAATTGATGAGAACACAATAAAACTGTGTTTTCCTTTGGTATTTTATGATTTGAGAAATGCTAATGAAATATGATTAATTTAAATTCTATCATTAAAGTACGACAAGTTGAATAGAAAACTCTTGCAGCATTTTATATGTAGATGAAAAACTAATGCATTGTTCATCCGTTAATTTATGCACGTGGAAAAAAATCATAGCAATCCATTGTTTAGTACATTTTATTTGCACTATACGTTGCAGTTATGAGACCTTTATCGTACTGAATGTTATTCAACGCATTTACAAATAAACTATTTTATGTTTTATCATAATGTTACAAAGAAAATACAAAACTTGTAATACCATTTGTACAAAGAAGCCCTTCGTATCCTACAGAACATCCCTCTGGACAAGTTCCGTTAAGATGGTTACACTGTGTATTATTAAAACAATGGCCACAGCTTTGATTGCAGTTGTAACCATACTTTCCACCTTCACACGCTAATCAAAGAATAAAATGATACCTATTGGTGACAGGCTCTGTCGTATTTTGATCAAGTAAAAGCATTGGTTTTCTTTCTTCCAAAAATCGTTAGTTCTTATACAAAGACAACAAAAAATACAATAACTTAAAACTACTAGTATTCAAATCCTTTTCATCATTTTTATCGTAGATAACTACAGTAGACTTCCTTTTGCAACTGCATTGAATATAATGACACATAAATGTTTGGATATCTGCATATACATGTAATATGAGAGAAATTAAACTAATAAAGCAAAGACAAACAATATTTAGAAGATGTAAAGAAAATGAGATAACTTCTTAGATTGATTACGTGTGATGTTTTTATTTTAGATCTTGATTCCAAAAAGCAAGTTGAACACGTCTTCTTACCCCCCCCCCCCCCTAAAAAAAACATACCAGAATTGCAGAGAGATCCCTTGTATCCTTTAGAACATCCTTGTAGACAAGTACCGTTGATATGATGACACTGTTCATTATTAAGACAATTACCACAGACTTGATTGCAATTTACACCGTACATTCCACCGTCACATGCTGATAATAAATAAAAGAAAATTTTGAAGAAATCTGAAATACGAACAAATGCAACAAATTCAGTTTTAAACTTAAAAAGGAACATGTAAAATCAATCTTATAAAAAGGAAAAATCAAAAAGAATGCATATTGTTTTTTTCTGCTTAAATACTTTACAGTAATCTTTGAAATAATATTTTAATGTCCATTATAAGAAAAAATCAACTTTAATGAGAAGATATGCAAATTGATATGGTTCAATCAAAATCTGATGTTCATAAAATGTTTATAAAAATTGTTTTAATTTCGCTTTATAATTTCCTTTTCTGACAGATTTTACACTTAACTTCATTTGCAGTTATTTAATCAAGTTTTATTCCGTTATTTTTTTTTTATGTAGTTGATATTGACATTGAAAATACAATACCTTTGTTGCAAAGCAATCCCTTGAATCCTACAGAACACCCTTCAAAACATAAACCGCTGACGTGGTTACACTGAATATCATTAATACAATGTCCACAGGTTTGGTTACAGTTGTTTCCATACAAACCACCATCACAAACTATTTCCAAAAACATCAATTTTTCCCTTAGAAATTGTTTTATTTTTTGTATCAATTTGAAAAGAAAATTCTGTTTTGTAGTAAATATGCGAATATGCTTATAATATATTTACAAGGTTTGAGGAAGAAACAAGGGTGTTAATACTATACCAGCATTGCAGAGAAATCCTTTGTATCCTTGAGAACATCCATGTAAACAAGTACCGTTGATATAATGGCATTGTTCATAATTTAAGCAGTGACCACAGACTTGATTGCAGTTAATACCATACATTCCACCATCACATTCTTGATATTTTAAAAGTTTAATAAAACATGTAGATTATATCATTTTCTCCATTTTTGTTAATATGCTTTAATACTCTTTTATGGAATATTTTTCAAAATTAAAATACATATGTAATATTAGTTCATTATGTATATACAAGTGGCACATGTATATACAAGTGATTAAATATTGATATTATCTTACAAAATAAATATAGATTAAAATTTTACTATTCTTGCATCCCGGCCCCTTGTGTCCTTTAGAGCATCCATGTAAACAAGTACCATTGATATGATGACACTGTTGATTGTGTAAGCAGCGACCACAGACCCGAGAGCAGTTTAAACCATACATTCCACCGTCACATTCTGAAGAAAAGATATCTTAAGAGCATTTTTCTTAATATATGCGTTATGTTAGATTTGTTTCCTCAAAGACGTCTAAACATGATTCATAATTTACTTTAAAAAATTTCAATCTTTTTTATTCTTCTAAATGAGATCTAGTATCCATGATTTAAAGCAACTAAAATTTACCCTCTCGGATGATGTTTGTTCATATAACAATGTACGGATCGGCTTTTCTTTGAAACAAAATTTCGAAAGATAATCATACTTACATGCACTTCTTTAGGCAAAATTAGTCTAGACCAAACATCCACATTGTGCTACCTTAGGATTGTTCGATATTTTGAATTACTTATTATGGGGTTGCTTTTCATGAATTTTTTTTTTTTTCAATGCTCTTTAATTCTTTATAGTGACCTAAACTTTGTGTTGTTTGATTCAATACCCTTTTTTAGGTAGTGTGCATATGAATATGACTGGTTTTTGAAGAGCAATTATTTATTTTTTACTCTTTACCTACTGTACACTTATTCAAGCCACTTTGTATAGCATCAGAAGAGATCTCATAATATTTGGTCAATAAAATATATTTCGCTATTACTGTCATTCAAATACAAAATACGGTACCTTTGTCACATAGCAATCCTTTGAAGCCTACAGAACACCCTCCTAAACATGAACTGTTGGTGTGGTTACACTGTATATTGTTTATACAATGTCCACAGATTTCATTACAGTTGTATCCATACAAACCTCTATCATACTCTATCACACTCTATCACAAAATTATTGTTCTTATTTATTATGCTTGAGTGGAATATGAGCCATAAAAAATATTTCAACTGTTAATTATAAAGGCAGAAATACAGGTACTTCTTTTTTAGTTTTCTTTTGTATATAAGATACAAGTGCAATACATTTGAATGCTTCTGTTTTGGAATATTAAACCATTAGATATATAATTTTCATTGTAAATTATAAAGGGGCTAATAAAGGACATTTCTTACATCAAGTATTTTACTTCTTGACATAATTAACATGAACAATTGCAAACACATTTCGATTCTTATGTTATTTCCTATATAAAAAAGACGATAATAAATTACTAGTTTTGCAGCCTGGTCTCTTGTATCCAGGAGAACACCCGTGTAAACAAGTACCGTTGATATGATGACATTGTTCATTGTTTAAGCAGTGACCACAGGCCTGAGTGCATTTAACACCATACATTCCTCCGTCACATTCTGTATAGAAAACATCCTTAGAGCATTTTTCTTTAATATATGCTTTATATTATATTTATTTCCTGAAAGACGTTGTTTAAGCAGTGACCACAGACTTCATTGCAGTTTATACCGTACGTCCCACCATCACATTCTAGATATTTTAGAAGTTGTAGAATACATTATGATATCATCTTCTCAGTTTTTAATTACATGCTAATACGAGGGTGGTTCGTGGACAACATTGTTAATTACTGAAAATCATTGATATAATACATGAAACTATTATTTTCATTAAATTGATGTTTCATGTAATTAACATGCAAGTATTTAAGAAATACAAAGCACAAATAGTTACATTTTTATCAAATTAAAAAAGACGCACACTCATACCCGGAGCACTAAAATGAAAGTTCTTGACGTTACCCGACGTCAAAAGCATTATACGACTACATATAACTTTTCTCAATATAGTCACCGTTTAACTCAATACATTTCTTATATGTCGCTCTAACCAGTCATAAATATGTGCACAAAACGTTCAGGTTTCGTGCGTAAAATAATATTGAACAATGCCTGTCTCTTATCCTGCAATCCCCCAACCTCTGTCCTCGTTAAAACGATTTTATTTAGGGAAATACGGTAAATTCACGTTACGACATTTTTTACAACACTGCAATCTCGGAATGATGGTCTTCCTTCACGCATGTCATCCTGTAAACTGTTCCTTAAGTCCATAAATATTATATGCCACTTAAATACAAATGTACGGCTTTTTTTTACTATGTTTTCCCGATTGTTTACAAAATGTTTTGGTGTCTGTAGGTGTTTATCCGATCTCCACGCACAATCTTATCATTGCTCACTGCTCCACCTATTTCGAACCCCCCCCCCCCCCCTTTTTTTTTTAGCAATTCCGATCTTTCCTAATATGTTCTAAATTTGATTGCTCAGCCATTTAACAACTTTGAATGTTCAAATTTTGCAGGTTTGAAGTGATACTTTCTGTCAATGTAAAAGTCATCCAGATTTCTGCAGAATTTTATAAAATACAAATGAAATTTATAAAGTGATAAATATTTTTTTAATTAAAATTTCGCGGTGCGCCGGGTCTCCATTCTAAGTCTAATAACAAAGTCATAATTGTAATTAAACATTTGAAATTGAATCAGATTTTACATTTCTTAGTTCACATTTAGTAAAGGATTAGAAATATGCTATTAATAAATATCAATGACGCAACTTTTATTTAATTCTTATCTTGTCCACGAACTTTACGGACAACCCTCGTTATTTTATATTCTTTAACCGAAAAAAAAGGTTTTATTGTGGTATATACAATTAATTAAGTTTGATTTTTTTTAAAAAAAAATATATAAATTGATAATAAATTACTTATTTTACAGCCTGGTCTCTTGTATCCAGGAGAACACCCGTGTAAACAAGTACCGTTGATATGACGACATTGTTCATTGTTTAAGCAGTGACCACAGGCCTGAGTGCATTTAACACCATACATTCCTCCGTCACATTCTGTATAGAAAACATCCTTAGAGCATTTTTCTTTAATATATGCTTTATATTATATTTATTTCCTGAAAGAGGTTGATTTATGACTCATGAATTCATGAATTCAGTAAATGTATGTTAGATTCTTTTTAAAGATAGACATTTAAGCATGATTTTTAAGATCATAAATTAATATCAAATTCATTTTTTTTTTCTAATTGACATCCATTGACCACGATTTTAAGCAAACTTAAAAACGTAAAATTCGCTTTTAATGAAGTCACGGGGACTGATGAAATAACTTGTTATATCCGTATAAGGTACATTGTATGAGTTAAATTTATAAAGCTGAGAATCCAAGATAAATTCACTATAACCGTACATTTGAAACATCTTTGTTCTTACTAAACGAATTTTGCTGTATACCGTCTCGGAGAATGTTTGTTTATATGACAACGCATGGATCTGCTTTTCCTAAGCTTTGAAACAAAATATTAAAAGATACTCATACTGACATGCACTCCTTTAGACATAGCCAGTCTAGACCAAACATTCATTGTGTGCTACCTTAAGATTATTCGATATTTTGAACTACTAATCATTGGTCATGGGCTGCTTTTAATGAAATATTTTTTTCCATGCTGTAATTCTTCATAATGACTTAAACTGGTATCGATTTGATTCAAAACGCTTTTTATGTGGTCGTGTGCATAAGAATATGACAAGTTGTTAAATAGCATTATTTTTTAATCTTCACTTTCTTTACACTTATTCAAGCAACTTTGAACAGCATCAGAAGAGAACTCCTCATAATATTCGGTCAATAATGTATACTCCAATATTTAGGCCTTTCAACTGCCGCTAGGGGGCGGTGTTATGAAAGATAACTCACTGCTGAAACTTGTTTAGAGCAGGCTTGGGGTATCTAACTGTTTACACGCAAGGCAGTTTTTAGCATTTCCCAAGTGTTTCTTTGCTCTCAGTAGAATCCAGTGGTTTTAAAATTTATCACCAATGTTAACTTATCTACTGTATACTTGCAGACACCGGTTTACTGCATATAATTAAAATTTTTAATTAAAATAAAAGTGAAATTTACCCTCCTTCTCAGTTCTAACCTATTTAAATTTTTATACTCGGTCGTTCCCCTTCGTGCTTAGTAACACAAATAAAATATTCAATTGTTGCATTTACTTGTAAAAAAATATATATTTACACAGGAAGCGAAAAAGCGCGAACACAAAAAACATGACATTAAATTTTCTTCTTCATAATAATCGTCAAAGAGAGTTAAAACTATTGAATATAGTCTGTTCCCCATTCATTTGACCCTGTTATTTCAGGTAGAGTGAAGGTTTTGTGTACAAAACAATGCAAGGAACCCTTTTGTGTATATAACAATACCAATGCTGAAGCAGCCTATATGTCATTCTTATAAACGATAACTCATAAATCGGCACTTAGTTGGTCATTTTTCACACCTGAGTTACCTGTCCTTAAACACAACATCGGAAAAGTCAATAATAAATGATTAAACTTTTTAATGAGGTAAATAAAAGTATGCATAAGTTATTATCTTTTTTGATAATTTTATGTACCTATAAATCTATCTATACAAAGCTTTTTACCATAGGTGCAACTTGAAAAATTAGTTGAAAGGCCTACAATATTACTGTCATTCAAATACAAAATACGGTACCTTTGTCACATAGCAATCCTTTGAAGCCTACAGAACACCCTCCTGGGCATGTACCGTTGACGTGGTTACATTGTGTATTGTTTATACAATGTCCACAGCTTTGGTTGCAGTTGTATCCGTACATACCACCATCACAAACTTTATAAAATATTTTTTTTAGGCTCGATAGAAAAAAGCGCTAAAAATATTATTTTAACTGTAAATTATAAAGATGATATTTTTTTCATTAAGTATTTTTTCCTTGTTAGGTAAAATTTAAGTGCAAATACATTTCCATTTATTTCAAATACTTGTTTTGCAGTATGGCCACTTGTATCCAGGAGAACATCCCTGTAAACAGGTACCATTGATGTGATGACACTGATCATTGTTTAAGCAGTGACCACAGGTCTGAGAGCAGTAAATACCGTACATTCCACCATCACATTCTGTAGAAAAGACATCCTAAAAGCATTTTTTTTAATATATGCGTCATGTTAGAATCCTTTTTTCCATATAGACTTTTAAGCATGATTT